GACCATGCGGGCAAGAGTCCAAGAGGGAGGTGTCCCCCCCCCAAAAAAAAAACACCGGGAACCTACCTGCGCCCCCCTGGGGGCTGCGCCATAATCCGGGCGAGGCGCGGTCACGAGAACATGTTCCTCCTCCTTTTCCTCCTCCTCCTCCAAGAAAGTGAGCCCCTTGGCCGCCGCGAGGCCCATGGCCCCCTGCGGATGATTACACTGCGAGAAAGACATTCCGAGGTGCAGAGCCCCGACCGCGAAGAGCACAGGGCTGCCCCTCCGAACCCGGGGCAGCTCTCAAGCCTCGCGCCGCCCGTGCACGCGAAGAGGCCGAGGCCGCGAGGGCCCGGCGCTCCGCCCGCAGCGGCGCCCACGGGCGGGGCCGAAACGAAGTGTCAGCGTTTGTTCATTCGGCGCTTCGGCGTCGGGCGGAAGGGGGGGGGCGGGGGGGGGGTCTGGCCCCGGACCTCTGCTGAATGCGACTGTTTGCATCAGGGCGCCCATTGCGGGGGAAGGGCTCCACCTGCTCGAAACAGGAGCCAAAAACAGCCAAGATCTACTCCATGGGGGGATGAGGAAAAGAGGGTTCGGGGCCCCGGGCCGATCGGCAAAACAAGAAATACTAACCTAACACTTTCTTCGGTCTCAGAAGCAATTTCCGTCGCAGCCTCTCTCGTGTCTGGCGCCAGCTCCTCGAACCGGGGCAGCGCAGGCAGGCGGCGCATTCCTTTCCCCTCCCTTTGCTGCTCCTGCGCACGCGTGCTGGCAGGAGGGTTGTGCCCGAGAGATTTCGGGGGGATGACGTGGCAACGCCTCAGGCTCTGGTTGAACCTCCGTTCTTCTCAGTTTTCTTCAATGCGCCCTCGAGGGCGCCAGATCCACTCTGGACCCAGACCTCGGAAGGAAACGCCATCAAAAAAAAAAAAAAAAAAAAAAAAAAAAAAAAAATCTACGGGGGTAGCGCGGCCACTGGTGCCCTCCTCCCCTCAAGAATTCGTCTTCCTATACTCTACTACACAGGCAGGTAACCTTCTCACTCACCCGCCCGGGCTCAAGCCTCTATCTCCCTGCGAGCGTATCAGACCAGCCATCTCCGAGAATGTATCAAGTTTCTCCCTGGTCGTCGGCTTGGTCATCATGCCGCTCGGGTTCTCGTGAGCGCAGACTTTGCCGGAACTCCATCGCCCTTGCTCTCTCCACTGCTGCAGCGCCAGGAAGCGCATCTCCACGTGCTTCATCTTCCCTGGCCCGCGCTTCTTCGCGATGTGAAGCGCGCTGCTGCTGTCGCTCATCACGAGCGGCATCGTCTTCTCCTTCCACTCCTCGAGTAGTGATGCCAGTCCGAAGGCCTCTGCTGCTCCCGATCATAGCGCGTATAGCTCGCTCTCCGCTGAAGCTGAACCCAATGTTACGCAGCCCTGGCGTCTTGATTACGATGGGACGGTGCAGTCGGTGCACTTCAAGATGCCGCCGCTCGTCGAGATCCTGTCCGTCTTGTCATCGGCCCAGTCGGCGTCCACCCAACACTCCACTGGAATACCTTCTCTGCTCGGAATCAACTGCATCTTGTAGTCTCGCGTGCCGGCAAAATACCGAGCCATCTTCCTCAACCTCCTCAGGTCCTTCTCCGTCGGTCGTGACATGCCCCCGCTTAGAACTCCAACTCCACGTTGAATGTCAGGGCGGTGGCTCGCCAACTATAACAGCTTCCCCGCGCAGGTCCTGCGACGACTGTGGCCCACCGCGTCTAACTTCACCTCGTCGTTATTCATGTGCATCTCGTTCTTGGTCTCGGGCAGTGCTGATGGCTTCGCTGTCTCCAAGCCCAGCTCTTTCAGGGTGTCGTCGATCAAGCTCGTCTTGCCGCTGATCGTGTAGCCGCCCTCGACCTTCTCCACCTGCATGCCCAAGAACGTTGCCTGATCTCCTTTCTTGGTGAGCTTCACCACGTCTGGCCCTCCCAAGCCTCCGGTGCTCCTTTGAGTCCTGGAAATGCGCGCAGCGCCTCCCGAACATGTCCTTCAGGTACTCCTGCTTCTGGTGGTGGTTCCAGGAAGATGCGGTCCTCGGTGAGCGGCGCCTGGTAGAACGCCCCACTGCAGTCGCCAAACGCCACCGCGTGGTCGCGCAACTCCGCGTTGACCAGCGTCGCCTTCAGGTGCGGAAGTGAGGGGGTCGTGGCCACGAAGTTCTCGTGCCCGTGCACCTGCTGCTCGCAGCCCCTCGTGGTCCACCGGCTCTTCTTGCTGCCGCCCGCCCGGTAGGTGTCGACCCGCTTCCCCGCCGGGATCTTGGACGTCGTGTCCTTGATCGGGATTGCCTTTACAATAAGTTTGCCGTCTCTTGCGATCTTCTTCAAGTGCCCCTTCCTTGCCTCCGCGGGGTCGCCCTCCAGCGCGCGCGTCTCCTCGTCCTCCACCTGTGGCTCCTCGCGCATCTCCCTGACCGCGCTGATCATCTGGATGGTAGTGACCCTGGACTTCTCGCCTTCGCTTCCTTCTTCGCCTTCGCGTTCTCGCTTGGGACTCCTCTTTATTAGCGGAATGCCCACTGGCTGCGGTGGTGCCGCCCTTGGCGTTGACGGTCCTGCCGCCTCGTCCCTGGGCCTCTTCGCTTCCAATCGCTTCGTGTCCATGTCCACGTCGTCGCACGGTGCTGCCGCCGCTGCTGCTGCCGGCTGGCGGTGGTGCTGGTTGTGGCCCTTCTCCTGCTGCTGCTGCTCCTGCTGCGGCTGCAGCTGCCGCGTTCGGGTCCAGGTACTTCGGTGACGGCCCGAGTAGAATCGGTCCCTGTAGTGACCTCTGCGTTGGTGGCCCCCCCCTCGCGGTCGGCGTCGGTTCCCAGGGTGTCCACCTCATCTTGTCGCGCCGCCCCCTGTCCCAGCGTCGGCTCTCCACCTTCCCCTTCACCGCCCTGGACCTGCACGCCCCCGTCGGCGTTCCGATCAAGTGCTCGCCCGTCCTCGCGTCGCGCCCTGACCAGATGCCCTCCAACCACGACAACTTCAGCTTGTTGACCTTGGCTCCTGGCCCCCTGCAGATCACTGCCTCGCCGACTGCGACGATGGGCTTCTGGTACTTGAACACGTGGGTCTTCTCGTAGGGTGTGAGGTTGGTGTCCTCCCTGATCATGCATCCGTTGTAACGCCGCGCTGCGTGCCTTGGCAACCACGCAAGGAAGGGGTGGCCTGGCTTGGGGTAGTGGTTCAGCTTCTTGTTGACCTGCAGCATCAACCTCCTCGCTTGCCCCCTCACCGTCAGGATGGCCCTCTCGGCCCTGCCGTTCGCCTGGTCGTTGTGCCTCTCCGACTGCCTCGTGAGGATCGTCTCGCAGATGCCGTCTTTGATCGCCCTGGCCCTGACTGCCATGATCAATGAGAGCTCGGCTGCTTCTCCTGCTTGTGGTTCCACTCGTGAATGCCCCAGTTCGGCTAACCACGGAACCGCCGAGGTCACTGTGTAGACGTCGCCTCGACCTTCCTGGATGATGGTCGTGCTCCAGATGCTCCCTGTCGAAGCGTCGCTGCCCACTACGAACTCGAAGATGACGGGGTCCCCCTCGATGCCCGCCTGGCCGTAGTCGAAGCTCAGCAGTGGGTTCAGCTCGTAGAGTCTATCATTCTTCTTGTGGGCTTTTTCGTTAGCCTTCGCCTGAATGCACATCTCACACCATGGTTCAGCTGGGTAGTGCGTCAGCTCGTGCCTCTCGGTCTCCTCCGCACTTGGCTCTCGAGGTCCAGGTAATCCACTGGCTGTTGTCTCGGGCCCCACCGTCTCGCGATCGTCGGGAACTGCCGCCGGTCCTTCTGGCGGTGCATCCACTAGTACATCTGCAGCTCCTCGAGATATGACCTGTGGTTGCGGCCGCTCTCCTGGTGGTAGCACTCTTGGTCCTCCTGCCAGTGCCTGTTGGACTGCGTCTCCGTCCTCGTCCTCTTCACCTGGTCGCGCTGCTGCGACTGCTGCCCCGATCGGAGCCAGTCGCGTCATCTCCCCGTGGACCTCCTCCATGTCATCGTGCACCTCGGTCCAACACTCCAGTGCGTAGTGGTTGTTGGTCTTCTTAAGCTTGACTAGTCCTGCCGTCTCGTGCCTCAGCAGTCCTCCTGAGCCGTCGCGCCAATCCACGCGGTTCTCCATCCTGCTGCAGAACTTGCCCGCGCTCATGACGGGCTGCTTCGCGTCGGCGACCTGGAACTCCATAATTGTGCGTATGTCGCTTGCTATGTAGGGCGCCGCCGTCTTCGATCCGTAGTGCCGCGGTGGCTTGCCGACTGCGGCCGCCAGGTTGGGTTGCGTCCTGGTTTGAGCTCCACGTTCGGGAAGTCCATGTTGCGGCGCACGTGCTCATCTGTGCAGATTCCTGTCAACGTCTAGAACGAATGCCACATGCCGTTCCCCATCGTGCTGTATACCCTTTTCTCCTGCGCCATTGGCTTCCAGTCCTTCGCAACTGCGAAGATGAAACCACTTTCCCTTCTCTGTCGCGCGCCCCTCTAGCGCGGTGATCGCTCGAACTCCTGCTCCCACTTGGCTGACTGAAGGTCCTCCTGTCGAGGGTGCTGGACCCCCTGGTGGCGGCGTGCTGATGTTGCTCCAGCCGTCGTACATCGTGATATCATTCGCTCTTCCCGTCTGCCCGTTCTTGGCCTTTGCCTCCCCTTGTCGTAGTTGGGGTTCCCCTTTCGATATCACCAACCCCTTGCATAGCGCCCCCTCTGGCCGCGTGCGTAGCACAACCTCGCCCAAAGTACTCCTGACAGATTCCAGGCTGGCTGTCGCGTTGCTGTCGCCCTCGCCATGGGGTCCGCGCCCTTGCACCCTTGGTCGTTGCCCCTGCTTTTTGCCTTTGTTGCCCCCACTTTTGCCTTTGCCGTATTCGCCCTTGCCTTTGGGATGCTGACATGTCAGCGCGTCCACTTCCATGGCTCCTGATGTTCGGTGTGCTTTGCTACTTTCGGCTCCAGATCCTGTTGGGCTTAGCCATTTCTGTCGGTGCCCATCCTCGTGCACCGTCGCCGCTTGTAGATACAGCATCTGTATCGTGGTGGCAACCAGTTCGTCGTAGCTTCTTTCGCTCTGCATCTGTCGTACCGTTATGATGTTCTTCGGCGCCTTCTGTAGGTAGATGCTCCTCTTGACTCCAGCATTGAACACCTCTCCCGACGCCGTCTCGCAGCGCCTGGTGTCGCGCCCCCAGTCTGAGTGGTACTGCTCGGACCCCGCCTGGTCCGAAGGGAAATTCTTCACGTTGAGAACCGCCGTCATGATATTTTGCGCGCTCATCGCCGTCGCAGGCTCGCAGCGCTTGATCAGCGCTCGCCGTGCCAGCGCTCCGTTCTGATCCTCTACACTCCTGGTCAGCAGCATCTGGGCACTGCCCTTCACTGTCATGACCAGCGCGAAGAACATCTTCTTCGTCGCCGTAACTCCTTCAGCGCCCAGGCGATGCAAAGTCTCTGCCATGCTGATGTCCGGATCTGCTCGCTGCTCAACCGCCTCCAAGAGTTTCAGCGTTTGCGTTGTTTGTCCTCCCAGGTAGGCCCTCATCACGAAACTCCACTCCGTCCACGTCTCTTCGTTGCCGTCGAACGTCGGTGGCTTCAACCCGAAACCCTGCCGCTCAGCGCCAGGCTCCGTCATGGTCACGTAGACCTCGTCCTGCTTGTCTGTGGTCACGTAGACCTCGTACTCCTCGTCGGTGGTCAAGTAGACCTCGGTCTCCTTGTCGGTGGTCACGTAGACCTCGTCCTGCTCGTCGGTGGTCACGTAGACCTCGTTCTGCTCGTTGGTGGTCATGTAGACCTCGTCTTTCAGCTCTGTGGTCACGTAGACCTCGTCTTTCAGCTCTGTGGTCACGTAGACCTCGTCCTTCTGCTCGGTGGTGAGGTAGACCTCGTCGTGCAGCGCTCTGTGGTCAGGTAGACCTCGTACTTCAGCTCTGTGGTCACGTAGACCTCGTCCTTGTGCTCGGTGGTCACGTAGACCTCGTCTTGCACTCCTGTGGTCACGAAGACTTTGTCCAGCTGTTTGGTCCCGTAGACCTTTTCTTTTTCAGCTGTTTGGTCACGTAGACCTTGGCCTGCTGCTGTGTCAGCTGGTCGCCGTGGATCAAAGCTCGTCCTGCGGCCGCGGCCGCGAAAGCTATGGCCAGCGCCCCGCGCCACGGGGGGGGCGCCCAGCGGGAGCTGGCCGTAGCCAGCTCCGCTACCATGATAACTTTTGTGCACAAGAGACTGCGGAAGGATGGCGCAATGGTAATGCCGCAGGCTCTGGTTAAACCTCTTCTCTCCTCGGTTTCCCACAACACATAGCCGTGCTGACCCAGGCCTGTCTGAAGAGGCAGCCTGGCCGCCGAAAGCACATCCAGAAAGCCTGCAAATAAAAGCTATCCCCTGTCACACTGTGCACCGCCAGCACGCGTCACGGCTCGCAGCTAGTGTGGTGTCATGTGCATGGCCAAGAGGAGCCTGCGCACAGGCTTGAGGTCGTCATTTGTTGCGCTGTGCGGCGGCGGCACGCAAGAGCGAAGGAAACTCCGTGGCCGGACGCACCGCGCCAGCTGCTGGCGGACGGCACGGGACGGGGCGATGCGGCTGTCTCTTTTCGTGAGGGTCTGTATTGGGAGCGTTCATGCATTGTTCGTTGCTTTCGCCCACGCTGTTTGTCTGCGGAGGTCGTGGTTGCGGGCAGTTGTTGACGTCTTACTGATGTCGCCGACCACGTCGGAGGCCTTCGCCTCTTTCAATGCCGGTTCGCTCGGAGACTGGATCGCCATGGTTGGGGACAAGCCGCGGCGTTTCAAACAAGCTCTCCGGGATGCCAAATCGGAAAGGTCCGTCAATGATGTGGCAGCGTGGGCTAAGACGAAACGGGTTGCTGAAATGGACGCGACTTTCGCGTGCACCCGTTGCGATTGCCACCTAGATTCTCGCCAGCAATTGGTCCAACATGCTTTTAATGCGCATGGGGTTGGACAGATAACCCGAAAATATATCGAGATGGACTATTGCCCCGTGTGTCTGCAATGCTTCTCTTCCAGAATGCGTGTGGTCAAGCACATCGAAAAAAGGCGTTGCCGATCTGTTGTCCTGGACAAATTCCAGCGGATGCCCCCGCATGTGGCCGCTGGGCTTGACCGGCCGACCGGGCGCGTAAAATGGCCAGGCAAGGACGCAGGCGACACTATGTTGACACTGGTGTTGAGCGGCTGAGCGGGCAGGTGATCAGAGAAGCTTACGAGACTGGCATCAGCCACGGTCCCACAGGCGACCGAAGAAGGGCCCATGCAACTTGCGCCTCTCTGACACGTATGCCGAGCCGTCGTGGCTACAGGTGGTACCTTTCGCATGCATGCGTCGCACAACCGTACTGGCTGACTTTTCCTCGATGCATCACTGGCCCCCGACGCTCCCCTGGAGCCTTGTGCCAACGACTGCGAGGCTGGGCGAGGCCGCGCGGTGCCGCCAGGGGCGGGGCTCTTCGGGCCCTGCGCAGGGAGGGCGGAACGAGGGCGGAGGGGGAGAGCGGCAACGCAGGGACAGGAGCTACCCCAGCAAAGCACCCGAATAGCAGTCCGAAGGCGAAGGGGCGGGTCGAGGAGCGAGCGCTCGAGGCACCGCCGCGTGCGCCCTGGAATATTTTATTTCTGCTGCGAGAGCTCGCGGCCGTCCGGACCAAACATGTAGCCAGCATGGCAAGATGGAGCCAGGACGAGGATAAAGTCGGGTGAGGATAGATCGGGAATCTCTGAAGTCCGGCGGCTCTGAGAGGGCCTCTGCCGATGCGCTAGAGCCCCCCCAGGTTTCCAGAGAGCCTCGTGCGGTGGGCCATGGTGTTGAACAGAGCACTGCCCAAGCGTGTCCTCCTCCTTCTCCTCTCCTCCTCCTCCCTTCCTTGTATTTCCTTCTGCCTCATGCCTGCATATTTACTACTGCGCAGCAGCGGCCAAGTGCGCGCAACAGTCGCCACATTCGTGGGCCCCTGGCTGGCCCAGCGCAGTGGTGCCAGACGCGCATCCAGACTAGACCTCGCGGCCCCCTGGCGGTGCTGCCACCTGCGCCACGGCGTCATACGCATATCCAAGCTAGACCTCGCTGCTCCTTGAAGGTGCTGTCATGTGCGCAACTGTCGCAGTCTTCGTGACCCCCCCTCCCCTCTCGCAGCTGGCCAAGCGCAATGGTGTCATGCGCACATCCAGGCTAGACCTTGCGGCTCCGTGGGGATGCTGCCACCTGCTTCGCAACCGTTGACGATTTTGCGGGCTCCTGGGTGGCCGAGCACAGTGGTCTCATACGCACAACCAGTCTAGACCCCACTGCTGCGCGTGGCTGCTGCCTCCTGCCGCGCAACTGTCGACGATTTCGCGGGCCCAGGGTGGCCGAGCCCATACGCACAGCCGGCCTAGTCCCCACGGCTCCCTGAGGGTCCTTCCACATGCGCAGCTGTCGCAACCTCCGTGGGCTCCTGGGCGGCCCAGCGCAGTGGTGACATACGCACGTTCAGGCGAAACCTCGCGGCGCCCTGGGGGTGCTGCTGCCGCATGCGCAAAGGTCGCCACTTCCGCGGGCTCATGGCAGGCCCAAGTCTGCAACGCATATGGCGAGCGTCGCTCTCTGACTCACAGCTGATTATCCGTCGTCTTCCTCGTCCTCCTCCTCCTCCTCCTCCTCCTCCTCCTCCTCCTCCTCCTCCTCCTCATCATCATCATCATCATCATCATCATCATCATCATCATCATCATCATCATCATCATCATCATCATCCCCCTCCTCCTCCTCCTCCTCCTCCTCATCCTCATCTCCCCGTCCTCCTGTCCCTTGGTCTGCTGACTGTCGCATCCGTGTTCACGTTTGTCTGCACTCATTCCTGCCCATCCCCTTTTCTCTTCACTTCCTGTTCCCCCTTACCGGATTCCGCATCCCCGTCACTATGCCTCCCTTCTTCCATATGGTCGTACGCTCATCCGCTTCAATGCTTGGCATGGTCATCGTTGTCTGTGCGTCTTCACATTCCGTGTAATGTTTTAGGGTGCTGCGTCAGCTTAATTTGTACCGTAAAACGTGGAAGGCGTGAACCCGCTTTCACAGAACAGTGCCCTCCAAAGCTTCTGATCATCCGCATAAAGCGTACCAATTGTAATGTTCACTTGTTGCAAGTGCGTTGGGTAGGTCACAAGGGTGAGCGTTTTTTCCCCTCCCAGGCGTGACGCTCGTTACCCAGGCCAAACCCTCCCCCCCCAGTTAATGCTAACGATCGTGTTGTGCTGGGATGGGGGCCTGCCCCCCCTTCCCTGCATGCTGACATGCTGGGAGCGGCCCCCCCGCAGTTATGGCGCTGTGCTCACAGGCATGGCGTGCTCTGAGCGGAACGCGTGGTGCTCACAAGCGTGCTGTGGCGCTCGCAGGCTCCCCACCTGTTGTGGCGCCGAGCTCACGAGCATGTCGTAGTGCTGAAAGGCACGTTTGGGTGCTCACATGCGCGTCGTGGCGCTTGCAGGCTATTGCGGTGCGCGTACGTCAGGCGGACTCACTGCCAAGGTACCCACTCGTGCGCCCGGCGGTGTCAGGCGCCAAGGGTTTGTGGCCGCGCCGCGTTGACACGGCGGCGACGCCGGCACAGGCGTTCAAAGTTGATCGCGACCCAGGGGGCCGTTTTGGGTCCCGGGACCTGCAGAAATGAGCCCGCGGCGCGAAATCCCTATCGGAGATGGGGTCGACGGCCTCCAGGGTCCTCCAGGAGCGGAGATCGTTCAAGATTGAACGATCCACGCAGTGTTCGAAACCATCGCCGACGTCATCGCGACACGAACCTACAGTACCCAACACAATTACGAAAACGAAAACTTGGGGGCCCCCCACCTCCTTTCACGCCCTTCCAACGTCCTCCCGAGTCCTCTTACTTTATACTACCTTTTCCCGCTTAGTCCCATCCCTTCCTCCTACCCCACCCCCTCCCGCCTCCCTCCCGCCTCCCTTCCTCCCACCCCACACTACCTTTTCTCCCCCCACCCCCTCCCGCCTCCCTCCTCGATTGTAGACCCAGCGCCACGATTGTAGACCCAGCGCCATGGGGAAGATAGAGACTGGGCTGCCCCGCGCCTTCTCCCGCAGACGCTGTGGTGTGCGCGAGTGCTTTGGTTCACGCAGGCAGCGTGGTGCACACCGGCGCTGTGTTGCACACGGCTGCTGCGGTGTACGCAGGCGTCGTGGTGTACGCAAGCGCTGTGGTGCACGCAGGCAGTGGTGTACACCGACGCTGTGTTGCACGCGGCTGCTGTGGTGTACGCAGGCGTTGTGGTGCACGCAGGCGTTGTGGTGCGTGGGTGTAGAATCCTCAGGCGCTCCATTTTCCATAGAGACTCTCGTGAAACATTTATATTGAACAGTGTTTCCTCTGGAACTCAGAGGCGCCCCAAATTCCACCGGGATTCTTCCATCAATAGCGACTCATTTTGAATCTCTATATATATAACAATTCGTTCCAGAGGCGCTCCATTTTATATTGGGCTTCCGTCAATAATCCTATTGTAAACAATGGTTGCCTGTGGAATCGGGGGGTGTAATCTTGAATTAAGGATTTGTTGTATATGGAATCCTGAGGTGATCCAGTTTCACGGTGCTGGTGTTCTGGTGAACGCAGGCAATGCGGTGTACACGGGCGCTGTTGCACACAGAGCTGCTGCAATATACACAGGCACTGCGGTGTGCAAAGGCGACGTGGTGCTGCAGTGCACACGGCTGCTGTGGTGTACGGAGGCACTGTGGTTGTGTGCACAGGTGGCGCTGTGTTGCACGCAGGCATTGGACACTGTCGTGTACACAGAGTGCGCAGTGCACACAAGCGATTGATGCGCCAATGTCCTGGACGCACCCTGGCGGGCGCACGCCGCGGCCGCCGTTACCGTTACTCGCCCGCCCGATACCCCCCCCTGGGTACCGGCCGTTACCCGGGAAAGAAAAAAACGGTCACAAGCAACGTTTCATCCAACATGCATCTGAACCACCCGGGACACCGTGCCGAATTCCATCGTTCGATGATCGGCGGAAGCCCGTACACCTGTAAGACAGACCCCACTGCGAATCCGACCACAAACACCACCACCACGAACACTGCCATTACCATACCGCCCCTCACATCACAAGCAACACTTCCACTACAACTCCTACGATAACGACCAATCCACTCTCACTGGCACCTCTATTGGCGTTACCAAGGGAGACTACAACGACCTCAACCATTACAACTTCATCACTACCAGTACTTCCCCCACACCGCAGCCACCGCCACCAAAATTACCATCACACCAACCACGCATGATATTGTACAACTGATTCGGCTCCTGCCCTTATCATCCTTGCGGAAAGGCCCATTCGGCTGTCGGCGAACATGTTCGCGCGACGTCGTGCGACACATGCTTATACAATCTAGTCCGTGAGTTGGGGATCCCCGCTGTCCCTGGCTGCTGGATGCAGATCAGGCTGACGCGGCCCGACAATGAGACAACTCTCAAACAAATCTTATCCCCTCGAAGATGCTTAGTGGATTCGCCGATCAATGAACATCCGCGCGAAGTGGCACATTCTTGGCGAAAGCGACTAGCACCTAAGTCGGCCTACCCAAGACACCTAGCACTACTGCACTAACATCGCCAATATCATGCGACGCCACAGAACACAATACTGAAAATCGCTGCGGCGACACGTGGACGTCCATGTGCCACCGTGGACCACGATCACCGCAGCAACTTCCCCGTCCACGAAAAGCCGCTGGATGCCGGCACCACGCGCCCACTGCTACTGCCTGAGGGGATGGCCGCCGTAATGACTGGAAGGCTGCGTGTCACACTGGAGCATGTAAGAGCATGCGTTATCGTGCCACCGTGCTGGGGCGAAGGGCGGGTCAAAACATCGAAGGCGTTAACGAGAAATGTCAAAATAGAACGTGGAAGTAGGAACTGGGAATAGGACGACAATCCATTATGTAGCACCCCGCCATTGCGGATAACAGTGAGGGGGCGGACGCGGGGTGGGTGGCGAGTGGGTCGCGGGTGAGCCGCGGTTTGGTCGCGGGGTGGGTCGCGGGGTGGGTCGCGGGTGGGTCGTGGGGGGGACGACGACAACAACAACAAGGTGGAATCGTATACTGGGTACCCGTCCCACGGGATCCCTGTTCCGCACTCCGCCCAGGAGGTGGAGGCGTACACTGGGTACCAATGCACCACCACCACCACCACCCCACACCCACACCCACACCTACACCCACACCCACCCACCCACCCACCCACACACACACACACACACACACATCCACACACCCACACACCCACACACCCACACACCAACACACCCCCACACACCCCCACACCCACACCCACACACCCACACACCCACACGCCCACACGCCCACCCACCCACCCAGCCACCCACCCACACACCCACACCCACACCACACCCACACGCACACACCACACCCACACACACACACACACACACACACACACACACACACACCACACCCACACACACCCACCCCCACCCACCCCCACCCACCCCCCACCCACCCCCACCCACCCCCACCACCCCCACCGCCCCCCACCCACCCCCACCACCCACCAGCCACACCCAGCCACACCCAGCCACACCCAGCCACCCAGCCCACCCAGCCACCCCAGCCACACACAGCCACACCCAGCCACACCAGCACACCCACACCACACACCCACACCACCCACCCACCCACCCACCGACCCACCCCCCGCACGCACGCACACACACACAAACACACACACACACACAAACACAAACACAAACACAAACACAACCACAAACACAAACACAAACACAAACACACACACACACACACAAACACACACACACACACACACACACACACACACGCGCGCGCGCACGCACGCACGCACGCACGCACGCATGCATGTGCACGCTCTCTCGCACACACACACACACACACATACACATACATACACACACACTACGAGCTCCCTGCTACGACTCATTGTACGAGCCCCCTACTACGACTCATAGTACGAGCTCCCTACTACGACTCATAGTGGGAGCTCCCTACTACGACTAAAAGTGGGAGCTCCCTACTACGACTTAAAGTGCGAGCCCCCTACTACGACTCATAGTGCGAGCCCCCATACTACTGCACCCTTCGGAAACCTTACGAATCCTTCTGGGTCCCTGTGAATTCTGAGGAATCCCTCGGAATCCTTCGGAGCTCTTCAGAATCCCAAAGAATCCTTCGGAACCCCGAAGGGATCCCTTGGGAATCCTCAGGAATCCTTGGGCGCATTCTTAGCAGTCCTGAGGAATCCAAGAGAATGTCCAGGAATCCTCAGGAGTCCAGAGGACTCCTTGAAGATACTTAGGAATCCTTGAAGATGCTTATGACTCATCAAGAGTCCATAGGAATCCTTAGGAATAAATCAGGAATCCCGTAGGGATCCTTCGGATTCCTGCTGAAGCATCCTTGGGATTCTTCGGAGAACCCCCAGGACACCGCAAGAATCCTTCGGAACCCTTGAAGTTCTTGTAGAATCCTCCAGAATTCTCAAGAATCTGCGGAATCCTTAGGAACTCAGGAATCCCTAGGAGTCCTTTGGGATCCGTAGGAATATCCAAGAATCCCCAGGAGTCCTTAGGAACCCTACGGAATCCGGATGATTGCCAAGGAATCCTGAAGAATAATCAGGAAATCCTTCGTTAGCTTTAGGAAGCCTTGGGAGTCCTTAGAAGTCCTCAGGCTCCGTTGGTATCCTGAGGGATCCTTCGGAATCCATTGGAATCCTCAAGAACCCGGAGGAATCTTTCGGAATCTTTAGAATGCCTGAGGAATCCTAGAAAGGGTTCTGTGGGAATTCTTCGGAATCTTCAGGAAACCTTAGGAACCCTTAGGACCCCATCACAATCCTTCAGAATCCGGAAGAATCCTGAATAATCCTAAGGGATCCTCCGGATTCCCCAAGACTCCTCAGGAACCCAAGGGTATCCGAAGGAATCCTTGGAAATCTTCCGAAATACTGCGGAAGCCCATGGAATCTGGAGGAACCCCTAGGAACCTCTAAGGACTCCGATGAATCCCGAAAAATCTTTAGGAATCCCAAGGGTTCCTAAACAATCCAAATGAATCCTTAGGAGCCGTTCGGAATCCGTGAGAATCTTTGGGAACCATCAGTAATCCACAGAAGCCGGTCGGAATCCACAGGGACCCTTAGGAGCCTGAGGAGTCCTTTGGAATGTTTGTGAATGCCTCGGAATCCGTAGGAATCCTCTGGCATCCATGGGAATCTTAAGGAATCCTTCGGAATCCCCAAAAAACCCAACGCATCCATTGGTAAGCATCCGACTCCTTAGGGATCCTGGAGAACCATGAAAAACGGCTTGGATTCTCAAGGGGTCCTCAGGAACTCTTTGGAATCCTTAGGAACCCTTTGGAACCTTTGGGAATCCTTGGGAATCCTTAGGAAACCCTGAGAATCCAGAGGGATCCCTCGGATCCTTAAGCATTCCTGGTGAATCCTACGGAATCCTTCGGGATCCTTAGGAATCCGCGCGAATCCGTAGGAATCCTTCGGAATCCGAAGAATCCATCGGAAGCTTTAGGAATCCCCTAGGGCATCGTCTGCAACCCCACCAACCCCCCTGGGGGGAGCGCAGCCCCCCCCAAGTGCCGTGGGGATCGTCTCACGTTCCTACATGGATCCGTGGGGATCCTACAGGGCTCTGGCTGGGCTGCGCAAGGATCCTTCACGCAGAAAACCATTTATAATCCTTACAAGCCCTTTACGAGGCCCACGGAACCCTCATAGAAGTCCTACACGAATCTTGCGGAACCCAATAAGAGCCGCACGGTGCCCTATCGGATCCCTACGGATACATATAGCGACCCCATGGACTCCCTCCCCCAAAAAGAAAACCCTCCCCTCCCCGCCCCTGCCACTGAAACCTTCGGAAGAGCTCCGTATGGGGCCAGGGCCACGATCCTCGTGAGGGGCGTACCGAAATTGGGCGTCGGTGGGCCCTCGGCGGAGCTCCGTCATGGGGCCAGGGCCACGATCCTCGCGAGGGGTGCGCCGAAATTTGGCCTGGGACGCACGCGGGCCTTGCCACTGAGACTTTCGAAAGAGCTCCGCATAGGGCCAGGGCTGCGATCCTCGCGAGGGGTGCGCCGAAATTGGCCCTCCGTGGGCCTGGGGACGCATGCGGCCCTTGCTACTGTGACTTTCGGAAGAGCTCCGCATGGGGCCAGGGCCACGATCCTCGTGAGAGGTGTGCCGAAAGAAGGCTTCGGTGCGCCCTCGGTGGAGCTCCTTGTGGCGCCAAGGCCACGATCCTCGTGCGGGGTGTGCCGAAATCATGCCCGAGGCCGCATGCGGGCCCTGCCACTGGGACCGTCGGAAGAACTCTGCATGGGGCCAGGGGCCACGATCCTTGTGAGGGGTATGCCGAAATGAAGCTTCGATGGGCCCTCGGAGGAGCTCGCTATGGGCCAGGGCCACGATCATCGCGAGGGGTGTGCCAGAAGATGGCCCGAGGACGCATGCATGCCCTGCCACTGGGACCTTCGGAAGTGCTACGTTTTTGGGTCAGGGCCACGATCCTCGTGAGGGTGTGCCGAAATTGGGCGCCGGTGGGCCCTCCATGGGTGTGGGCGTCGGTGTGGGCGTGGGTGTGGGTGTGGGCGTGTGTGCGGGTGTGCGTGTGTGTGGTGCACGGGCACCCAATGCAACCCTCCACCAACAACAACAATAACATCAGCACCAACGACAACAACAACAATGACAACAACGACGACGACGACGACGACGACAACAACAACAACAGCAACACTACCAACAATCATTTCAAGACTGTTCGCTCTTATCAGCCTGAGTGCCCTTCAACACGTATATCCCAAACCCTCGATACCCCCCGCTCTCTTCGTCTTCGATCGTGCCTAGGGGTAGATCTTTCTTGCCTGGCGCGTGTATTTCGTGCAACCCGAAAGGCAGGGGAAGAGAGGACAGATGGAAGGGAGGGGCAAGGGAGAGGGAGTATGGAGCATGGGAGAGAATAGCAGAAGGTGGGCTAGGAGCAGAAAACACGTGGCAGAACCAGACGGGCAGATCGGGCTGGTAGACCCTAACGGGCGGTTCGGGAAGGCGGGCCCAAGCGGCCAGGTCGAGCAGGCGGTATGCTGAAGCGTGCTCCCTGCATGAATCGCGAGGAATTCTCGAGCGATAGTAGCGCGATTCCCACATAAATCGTAAGGAAATCAATAACAAGAGCATGATTCCCGAGTGTCGAGGGCGCGGTGTCTGAATGAAGTGCGAGAAGTCCCCCGCGGGAGCGCAAGTCCTGGAAAAGTTGTGAGGAAGTCCCGCGCGAAAGCGCGATTCTCATATAAATTGTGCAAGTTTCAGGCCGGAGCCGTTGTTGTGAACCGGGAGCCAGGTGGCACCTCGCTTTCCCTTGTAAACAACGGGGTGCGAGCCCTCGGAGAAATATTTAATTGAGTGAATACAATGCTTGCCAGATAAGGGGGATCAACAATCATGAATTAGAGGTAAGAATCCAACCACAACAACAACACAAACAACAACACCTATCACAACAACACTACCAACAGCACCAACGGCAACAACAGCAGCAACAACAACGACAACAACAACGACAACAACAGCACCAACAACAACACCACCACCAACAACAATGATCGCCTTAAGGCTGTTCGCTCTTATCTGCTCGTGGGCCACTCAGCACGTGTATCCCCAATCCTCGATACCCGCCCTCTTCGTCTTCGATTGTGCCCCTAAGGCAGGGGAAGAGACGACGGACGGAAGGAAGGGACAAGGGGGAGGAAGGAGGATGGAGCACAAAAGTAGCAGGAGGAGGGCTAGGAACAGAAAACACGTGGCAGAACCAAACGGGCAGATCGGGCGGGTAAACCCTAACGGGCGGGTCGGGAAGGTGGGCCCAAGCGGCCAGGTCGAGCAGGTGGGTTGCTGAAGCGTGCGTCCTGCATGAATCGCGAGGATGTCTCGAGCGATAACGTGAATCCTAAACAGATCGTGAGGACATCCACCGCGGGAGCGTGATTCCTGAGTGTCGAGGCCGCGGCGTCCGAACAAATGGCCAGGAAGTCCCACGCGAGAGCACGATTCTTGTATACATGTTGAAGACTTCCCGCGCGAGAGCGCGTTTTGGGCATAAATCGTGCGGAAGTATCAGGCGGGAGCCGTTGTTGATCGGGGACCAACAATCCAGTTTGGTGGCACCACGATTCCCGTTGTAAAAAACAGGGTGAGAGCCCCGTGAACCACATTTCATTTGCAAAAAACATGGTTACTGGGCAGGGAGGATCGACAGTATTTAGACTTCAGAACGACAACTCAACCACAACAACAACAATGGCAATACTTTTAAGACTGTTCGCTCTTATCTGCTCGCGTGCCAGTCAACACGTACATCCCAAACCCTAGACACACGCCCTCTTCGTCTTTCGATCGTGTCCACTTTGGAGTACATCTATCTTACCCGCAACGCGTATGCAATCCAGCCCCTACGGCAGGGGAGGAGAGGACGAATTGAATAAAGGAGCAAGGGGGAGGGAGGAGGACGGAGCACGAGAGAGAGAGTAGCAGGAGGGGGGCTAGGAACAGAAAACACGTGGCAGAACCAGACGGCCAGATCGGGCGGGTACACCCTAACTGGCGGGCCGGGAAGGCGGGCCCAAGCGGCCAGGTCGAGCAGGCGGGTTGCGGAAGCGTGCGTCCTGCATGAACCGCGAGGAAGTCTCGAGCTTTAGCGTGATCCCCAAGTGAACCGTGAGATAAGCCAAAGCCAGAGCGTGATTCCTGAGTGTCGAGGGCGCGGCGTCTGAATGAGTTGCGAAAAAGTCAGACGCGAGAGCGCGATTTAGTCATACATTGTGAAGAAGTCCCGCGTGAGAGCGCGATGCTTCAATCAATTGTGAGGAAGTATCAGGCGGGAGCTGCTGCTGCTGCTGCTGTTGTTGTTGTTGTTGTTGTTGTTGTTGTAACTCGGGAACCAGGGGCGCAATTTGAGGCTCAAGTCTTTCCGTGAGAAAAAAACAGGTGCGAGCCCCGGGAAAAAAACACTTTAATAGAACAATGCAAAGTGCACCGAGCACGGGGCATCAGCAATCATTCTGGTCCAGAGATGGGAACTCAACAATGACAGCAAGACCACCACCAACAACAACAATAACAGCATCAACAACAACATCAACATCAACAACAACAACAACAACAACAATCATTTAAGACTGGGGACACTCCGTTCTCACCAGTGCCAGGGTTTTCATAGGAGGCGGGCAATACCCCCACTTTGTGGGGGGGCCGGGTCAAGCTCTACCAAGTTTAGGACGACTCTTCGCCACCACCCACACCCAGCTTCCCGCCCTATGACGTTCGGACACTTCACTTCGTGGCCTGCGGACGACCTTGGCTACTACACTGGCGCATGGGTACAATGGCTTGTTGTGGTAACATTTTGTGGAAGCTAGCTTAGTATACGACTTATCCCCCTGTTCCAACACTGGACACCTGTACCGTTTTCCGACGTTTTTCCGTTTCTGTACCACACAAGCAAAGATTATTTTGAGTGGTACCACGTGCGTGGCGCCAGCATACCACAGGACTTGTTTCCGTTGTTGTTATATGCTCATTCTTGTTCTGTGGTTGTCGTTCCGGCCTCAATGTGCAATACTGGCTCATTCGTCTACGAAATACACGTGGCTACCTCTCTCTGGTGGGAGGTCCTGATGGTTGTGGTTGTCCCGATGATTGTCGCGATGATTGTCCCGATGATTGTCCCGATTGTTGTTCCGATGGTTCTCCCGATGGTTGTCCCGATGGTTGTCCCGATCGTTGTCCCGATGGTTGTCCCGATGGTTGTCCCGATGGTTGTCCTGATGGTTGTGGTTGTCCCGATCGTTGTCCCGATGGTTGTCCCCATGGTTGTCCCGATGGTTGTACAACAACAACAACAACAACAACAACAACAACAACAACAACAACAACAACAACAACAACAACAACAACGACAAGGGCAGCAACAACAAGCACCAGCAGCAAGCAAGCAAGCAAGCAAGCAACATCTGGGCCACGGAGCCCCACTTCACCCACGCACCCAAGGCTGGTGTGCGACCGTTCGGCCCCCATCTGGGCGCCCGAGTTATCCGGGGTAACTCGGGTCCGGGGTAACTCGGGTTCGGATGCCCGAGAAAGGAACCCGAGTTAGCCCTGACCCGAATTACCCCTGATGATGTGGGGCTCTGGACGCCCGAGTTATCCGGGGTAACTCGGGTCCGGGGTAACTCGGGTTCGGATGCCCGAAAAACGAACCCGAGTTAGCCCTGACCCGAGTTACCCCTGATGATTCGGGGCTCTGACCCATCACGCTGACGCATGCCGGACGCGGTGCTCGGTCGTGCCGCTCTGGGCGCGCCGCTCGTTCCCAGAGGCGACCGCCTCCGCCCGCGGCCCTCGTGAGGTGTGCTGCTGCGCTCCCCCGACTGCGAGGGAGGCCGCGTGGAAGCGCGGAGCAGAACGCTGCAGTGCCCCGGGTAACCTTGAAACCGCCCTCCTCCCTCCTCCCCTCCTCCTCCCTCCTCCTTCCTCCCACCTCCCTCTCTCCTCCCTCCTCCCTCCTCCCCTCCCCTGCTCCTCCTCCTCCTCCTCCCTCCCTCCGCCCCCCCCCCCTCCTCCTCCCTCCCTCCTCCTCCTCGCTCCTCCCTCCTCCCTCCTCGCTCCTCCCTCCCTCCTCCCTCCTCCCTCCCAGGGACGCCCCCAGCGTCCTCCTACTCCCTCCCTCCTCCCTCCTGGCTCCTCCCTCCTCCCTCCTCGCTCCTCCCTCCGCCCCTCCTCCCTCCTCCCTCCCAGGACGCCCCCCAGGCGTCGCCACGCTTCCCACGTCCCCGTCGTGGCCTCGATCTCCTCGCAATCGTCGCCATCGTCCTCCACACCGCACGCCTTCGCCAGCCCGCCCTTTCCTCCTCCTCCTCCTCCTCCTCCTGCTCCTCCTCCTCCTCCTCGTCCTCCTCCTCCTCCTCTCTCCTCCTCCTCCTCCTCCCGCTCATGGCTCCCGATCTTCTCTCCGGTCCTCCCTCTCCCACCTCTGGGGCAAGATCGACGTCTGCCGCTCCAAGTACTACCCAACTGGCATTAACCAAATGGACATGCGTGCGACATGACAGACAGCACTGGCCTCGGTAACATGTAACATGATGGAAGGGGGATCTGACACACCATGGTGCAACAGCATGCGAGAGAATGTGATGCCTTGTCTGATGCTGTACAATGAAGTGGCTGTAGAACAGCGTGCAAGGCGACCATTAATCCAGCATTCTTCTGAAAAGTCTGGCCAGTTCCGCCAAAGGTGATCTGCACGTTGCATCCGACCAGAAAAAGTTCCCAGCAGGTCGTGCTGGCGGATCAAGGAAGGCTGAGAATGCACCCATGAAAAACTCGACGGCACTTCCAACGGGGCCCGAACCCTGAGCTTCGAGGCGATAGCACTCGCGTCGATCGTCAAGAACATCTCCGCGGCGGTAACCTGAGGAACTGGCATCCAAAGTTTGATCACATCATGCCGCCCACGTGATAGGGCCCTCTTCTCCTCACCTCCACCCCCGTCCCTCCCTCCATCCCGTCCTTCATCCATCCATCCCGGCCAGCCGTCACCTCTCCCCGGAGATTCGACATCGCGAAAAAACGCCGCACCGGGGACAAATATGGCCAGAACCCTAAACCAAATCCCTCGAGCTGGATCGATCTATGAGGGCCCTGGGGCCAAACAGAGCGGGGGAGACGACAGGTGCGAGCAAGAGTGCGTCTCCTGGATCCCAGGGTCCTGCCACTCATCATCCCCCCCCTTCCCCTCCCCTCCTCTTCCTCCCGTCTTCCCTCTCTCGCCTCCTCCTCCCCGCCAGCGCAGCACCTGGCCCTCCTCCGCCGCCTGCTCGACCCGGCAGGGGCAGATGCGCTGCGCTATGGACGACGGGAACTGCCCGAGCCCGGCGCCTCGGACGCACGCCCGGAGACCACCCCGCGAGGCAGGAGACCTACGGCTGGGAGCTCCCGCTCCAGCGTGCCGAGGCGGAGGCCCCGGCGACACGCCGTGCCCTGCCGGCCGATCGCGTGGCGCTCTGCTCCCAGACATGCGACGTCCTGATTGTTTCAGGACGGCGCCCCTGGAAGACCCGACCCTTTCCCCGCGGGACCCGTTTTTCGCCCTGAATCGTTTCTTGACGGTCGCGAGGCCCGGCGAGGGCCCCCAGAGGCCGAACATATGGAAAAACCTCTCGTCATGAGTTTTTCACTGCCCGAGGGGGTCTGGGCCGAAAGCAACGAACAAAAAAACCTCCCGCCCTGCTTTTTTTGTTTTCGCGACGCCAGCATGTCTGGGGGAGAGGCCGGCGGAGGCTCGTGTCGGGAGCGGCCAAGAGGGGGGTGTCGAAGAGGGGGGGATGCAAATCATGACCGTCGGCATGTGCGCGGCCCAGCGGGGGGGGCCAGGGACGCAATGAAATAAGAAGAGGCGCCAGGAAATCTGGAGAAATATCATGGCCCACGCCATGATATCCTCCCCCCCTAATCATCACCCCCCTCTTTTCCGCCCCCGATCGGGCCGCCGTCGCCCCGGGTGGCCGGGACGCGGTCGGCCCGTCGCGCCGGAGCGCGGTGGGCCAGAGCTGGCGGCGCGGCACGCCGAGCAAGCGCTCCCGGCCGCAGCATGGAGAAGGATCGCGTCCTGGAGGAGCGGGGCCGCTCCTCCCCCCTCCTCCCTCCTCCTCCCCCTCCTCCTCCCCCCCCTCCTCCCCCTCCTCCTCCCCCTCCTCCCCCCCTCCTCTCCCCCTGCTCCCCTTCCTCCTCCCCCTCCTGCTCCTCCTCCTCCTCCTCCTCCTCCCTCCTCCTCCTCCTCCTCCTCCTCCTCCTCCTCCTCTCTCCTCCCCCTCCTCCTCCTCCTCCTCCTCCTCCTCCACCTCCTCCTCCTCCTCCTCTCCTCCTCCTCCTCCTCCTCCTCCCCCTCCCCCTCCTCCTCCTCCTCCTCCTCCTCCTCCTCCCGGGGCTCCAGGGCTCTCCGCCGACCCCGGGGCCGTCAAAGCACGCGGCCCGGGAGGGGAGAAGCTGGCCCTGGGCCCTGACCCCCTCGGGCGATGAGAGAATCACGACGGGAAGTTTTTCCATATTTCGGGGATGGACAGACCCCCCTTTAGTAAAACGTGGTTTAGTGAAAACGACCTGAGGCCCAAACCTGGCGGGCGCAAGCCTGGAAAATAACGGCCGCGGCGCCCTCTCGAGAACCAAAAACGGACCATTCACTAATCGACGTGTCACTGTTGGGGATTCTGTCCACCCCCGAATATTTTCGGCCTCAGGAGGCCCTCATCGGCCCTCGGGGCCGTCAGAAAACGACTCAGGATGACCAGCCGGCCCAGGAGAATCGGTCGAGACCTCTGAGGGTCGGCGTCATGAGAAAGTCAT